GATAGGGTTACTGTGTTTTAAATACCCAGTTTTTCACATGACATTACATTGGGAAGACCACATTCCCAGAGTCATTGCCATGGTATTGTGAGTGATGGATGTCTCGACAGCACGTCAATGTCCCTACTCTGTTCCTCTGATGGGCTAGCCATTAGCCACCATTTCTGCAGAAAAGTTAAAAAGTCTTTAAGGAAACTTCAGAAAGATTTAGGTCTCTTTTCTGGTTGTGACAAATATTACATCTGTATTATCCTATAGTCATAGAATCAATGTTAACTTCTCCTTATTAAATCATTCTGCCAAAGACATTTGGTGTTTTGGTAAAGACAGACTTCAGGCTAAGTGGTGACCAAGGAAAGCCCTTATATATAGCTTGGAATAAGATTTCATAAAGAGTTCCAGTGAAAGATATTTGGAAATAAACAGGAAAAAAAAACCACCCCTTGTAGTTATGAAAAAAAATGCTTTCAGAAAATCACTTGAAAATTCAAATTGCCTTATTCATTTCAATGTTAAAATAAACCATAAAAGAAATATTAAAGGAATGACAATACATACATCAGCTTTTAATGGTAGCTGCTCATTAAAAATGAGTATCTGAGGGTATATTCCAATTTCATCCTCTTCAGATTGTGCAGCTCAGATAAATGTTTATTTTACTGAAAATATTTGTAAAATTACAATATAAACACATGATTATATTAAGATAGGATGACTATATATAATGTACTCTTATCTATAGATATAAAATGAATGCAGTAAATATAGCACACTCTTGATGAATTGTTAGTACACAGTGATTCTCAGTAAAGTACATACTGCACAGCCTATTATTAAGCAACACTTATCTAGCTTCCAAATGTACACTTAGGAAGTTTTTAGGATGGAAGGAGACACTAAATCCCCCAATACCCTTTTCAGTTGGTGAAGGTTAGTACTTTCGCAATTTTTGAAATATTGTATTTATTTAGCAACTGTTCTTAGGCTCTTTGCATTTCCTTAACTTTAAACTTTATTTCTTTTTCAGAATGGTTTTTAAATGATGCCATATCAGCTAACCATATTTTGAATTCTTGTATAGTATCATGTACTATCTTTTTTATTAGTTACTTGAACATACATCAACAATAAAACAGAATCATTTAAAAATTTTTTCGTCAGGACACATTTTCAAAATGAACTTTCAGGGTATTATAGGGATCCTTAACTAGACATAGCCTCAACTGCAATACTAATCTGGGTTAGAAATAGTTATTTTTTTTAAATTTATTCTAGTCCTTAAGAATACAAATGTGAACTCTACTTTAAAATTCTTTGTTAAATATATTGGGATTTGTTTCAAAAGCATCTTCTACCCTTCTCCGTTACATTGACCTAATGGAAACCTGTTACTACAACGGTTCCAACACAAACATATGCATGCAAGAGATCACCCTATAGGTTCTAGCTACATAGTTATCGAAACACATCCCACCTGTCAAGTGGCATAAATGTACATCTTCTATATACAAAAGGTAAAGTGCATTATTAAATTAGTGAACTGACAGATTGTCTGCCTGGACCATATAGCTTTGCAAATAGACAAATGTGAAATTCTCCCATTAGAACCAACTATTTCAAGAGGTTCCAACTAGCTTTTCCACCCTGTCATTTATTTTTTGGCCATGCTCTTTAGTGCAAATAAGCTTGTGTTTGACTCAAGTTTAAGGGACATGGCAGTTTGGGGCTTTAACAAGGAAAATTATAAAATGTGGCAGAACTTTAATACCTTTATAATACATTGCATCATTTGCATATAAGCAACAGATTAGTGCTGCTTTCAATTGCTAGGAGCATACTGCCAACTATCATGAGGAACCCGTTTCCAAATTTCATACGATTAGCTTATATTGTTACAGTTTTGAGTCTGTACCACATTATGCTTGGATTATTATGTGCAAACATCATCAGTGTTTTAGCATTATACAGTGAACTAGTAAGTTTGGTTACTACTTTATGCTCATTTTTAAACTAACATCCAGGTGCCTTAAGAGTTTAATATCATCAAGGCAGGGATCCTGTTACTTTGAAGAATACCATGTACACTTGCAGCTCCATTTATGTTACAAATGACAATAAATAAAATGTATATTGCACAGATAAGAATAGTAGCTTACTTTACAAGATACATGGCAATACATGTCCTAATACCAGAGTTTTGAGCGGGATCATATTATGGCTAATGAATTTTTGGGAATTTTAAGTATCAAATAAAAAATCATAGCATCATTTCATTTTTCAGTGAATACATGAACTATGAAAAAGTGAAACAAAAGGACTGGTAGAAGGCTTAATGATTCTAGCGCATATAGATGCATCTGTCCAATCTGCAACAGTGAGATGGTAAAAACTTTGAAGTACACATACATGATAGGAAACTTGGCGGCTTAACTAGTACTTTACTTAAATAACTAATGCAAAATCAAACTAATATTTACATTCAATGAATGAAGGATACTTAGATATGATACTGACATTGTAGTATGTGTGCGCATATATGTATCGGTATGTATATAGACACACATATTCAAATTTTATCAAACTAAAGACCAAAAAAGAATGATTTAGACCTAATGCATATAAAAACTTTAGAAAGGAAGATTTTAAGAGAGAGTATACACTCATAATGATAGTGAGAGGAACAATCGAATACTGGGATATTCAAAGCTCCAGTTTGCCAAAGTCTGACAGGTTAATTATTATTAATAGGCACTATGATGGGCAGCAATAACAATCAGTAGTACAGTAATTCAAGTGCACATCACTCCTTCATATACCAGGAACTACTTTTTAGCAAGACTACATAGTTATTTTTACAGTTAGGACTGTTTAAAAATCCTTGCTACTTTTAGAGTCTCAACACCCACCATGTGCTATTAACTCTAGTACTAACATTATCTTCTAACCTTCCGTTGTTCCGTAGCAATCCAGATGGTCCACAATTATAATGAACTGAGATTCCTTCATACTAGCTGAGGAAACGTGAAATACAATCTGCAAACCAACACCAGTATATAGGTCTGGGTTACTGATTGCTTGTTCTCAAGTAGCAGAAACCAATGAAATTAATTTCTTAATTCGTCCTGTTAGGTTTCCTTAGTGACCTTATACTTAAATGTATTTGGGGGCAAACCTTTGGAGGAAAGAACTGTTAAAATAATTCTGAATTTCTTAGAGTATACAGAAGAAGAGCTACATTCTGATCTCAATCCAAGAAGCCAGCTCTCATCAATAAGAGCTATGTTTGGGAGTTGGAATCAGTGTTCTGGCTCTTAAACATGAATATATGGACTTAATTGTATGGGAAATGAATAAAGCCAAGTTAAAAGACAGTTATTTCATTCAGAGTAAAATGTAGCTCAGGAGATGAAATCTCAGGCAGTTAATACAGGATGGGTTGGTACACATAGACACTATATCCATTTGTTTAAAAAAATTGCTTAGGTGTTCAAAGATTGCTGTGGCACTTCCTGGAAAGTAATTTTTAATACAGGTAAATGGGTGATTCTTGTGTAAAGTAAACCTCTTTAAGAATCATAAAAAGCACCTTAGAAAATGCCTGAAATCTTCTTTTAAATATATTTATAACCAATCTTCAAATAATATTTTTATACTGATAATTTGAATTCTAAATGTTTTTCTTTTTAGAAAAAACATGTGGGTTTTTTTTTTTCTGGAATTAAACACCTGTAAAAGTCGGGTTTATTCTGGAAGAGTTGACATGGTTTTCAGGGTAGCAACTGCAAAAGTGCTACTAAAATGTTTTATTACAGATGTTATTTTTATATCACTTTATCAGTTAACTGGTATACCAACCCCTCTGAAAGAGTGTTAAAGAAGAAGCATAAAATATAACATCTTGAGTCCATGATATATTTTGGGGGGGGGGGCAGGAGGGAACCTCTCACAATCTTAAATTAGCATGAAAAACTAAAACACCAAGATTTCCATAGCAAAGCCACTGGACGAAGCCTCTCACCCAATACTAACATCAAAAAGTAATTCCTGAAACTTTGGAAAGTCAATAAATACATATGGTACAATCAACAGACGTGAAGATGGACCTGTTAGTCATTTAGAGGAACCGATTAAAACTCTCCCATGGCTTTGATATGGCAACTATGAGCTGTAGAGTTACCACAAAATTTGAAATTATAGAATACTAGAGTTACTATTAAATATTGAGACACTTATTTTTAAGGTTTAAGTGGCTAATGAGATTTGTTTCTTTAATGATACTGTTTAATATTCGATTACCCAATGGACAATGTTTCTACTTGTACTTTTATAAATAAGTATGCATACTATACCGGAGGTCAATTTCTGTTTCTGTGGTAACTGTCCTACAGGCAAACTTGGCAGCTTTTAATGAAGTAGGAATGGGATACTTTTGGGGGGGGGACTTGTGAAATAGAAAGTCACACTTCCGTATTTAAGTATCCGTATCTTTGTTCAGGATTATGTCATAATGCAATGTAAATCTTAGTTACGGTATTTAGAAGGTCAGAATGTCACATTTTGTGCTGATTTGCATACTTCAATAGTCTGGAGCAGCTGAAGTAGCTAAACTAATTTAGCTTTGGGAAAGTTGGGATTCCCATAAGAATGAGAGTGAGCTATGCTTAACATAACATGAGAATCAGACTCCTTGAAGTATAGACTACTGGAGGTACTACTGATAACAAAGGGCCAAAAAAGAGGAAAAACTTCTCCAAAATGATAATGGATCAGTACTTTTAGCCAATTTAAGATTTTAAATTTTGCCTGATGGAGTTCAATTTCTAGTCGAGGCATTCTCCTTCTTCACCACTGGCCCTTCTGCCATCCATTCTCTTTTCTTTATGGCTGTTGCAAATTTTCCTCATCTCTTCTTCATACTTGATAAAATTCTCCCCAAACCTTGTCCAAGCTTTGAACGGAACAGTAATAGTATTACGGTAAGGTGGCCTCACCTCACTTACCTTCAGGAAAATTCCATATTTATTAGAGCCCACATCAAAGTAGAACCTTTTATTGTCCACTCTGAAAGAAGTCCCCTCCGGGAGTTCAAGCGGGTCGTCGTCCCCACCTCTGCGTTCTTCGATGTCCCCTTCGCCATAGTCTTCGATCAGCTGAACCAAGGCATCCCGGAACTCGATCATCCCCTGGGCTGGGAGGACGATCGTCTGCTCCTGGCCCAAACTGTGGCCAAAATAGCCTATCATGCCAGCGCCCCGCATCATGGTCTGCCGGATCCTCAGGAAGCGACCCCGCTGGTTCTCCTTGAGGTCCAGGTAATACTTCCTATTGTCCCTCTCTATATAGTCCGTCTTGAGGACACTGTGCGGATGCTCCTCCGACCCCACGGACACGGGCGGGGAGGGTGCCGCGTGCTTCTGCCTCCTCCGGGAGCCCGGCTCCTTGCCGTGGCCGTGCTCGGGCCGGTGGCCCTTGAGGCCCAGGTGGGCGTAGTGCTCGATGAAGTCCCCCAGACAGTCCTTGAGCTCCGCGGCCACAGACAGGGACAGGGTCAGCTTACTCTTCCTGATATTGTCCTGCCGGCCTCTCCCTATCCACACTTCGGCTATCTTTAGGAAGCGGCCCCGCGAGCTCTGCTTCACGTCGAGGTAAAACCTCTTTTTCTGGATGTCCACTCGTTTGGAGGCCAGCTCCTGGATTTCGGCCGCGCCCCCGGCCTGATTGGGGGTGGCCGCCGCGGCGTAGTGGGGGTAGTGGGAGTGCTGGGCCTGGGGATAGAGTCTACTCTTGCTTAGGCCAGAGCCCCCTACATTCTTGCCTCCGCGGCCGCGGCCGCCGCCGCCGCTGCCGCCGCCTCCCCTCCGCCTGGCTCTTTCCATCTTCAGCTGCAGGCGACAAACAGACACACGGGATGGGGTGGGGGAGGGGGTTGAGAACAATCGCAGGCGCCCCTCGGCCTGCGCCGCCCCCGCCGCCGCCCGGGCCCCCTCGCACCGGCCCGGCTCCGGCGCTGGCCTCTGCCGGACGCGCGGCGGCCGCGGCTCCCGCCTGCACACGTCCCTCGGCCGTCCCAGTCCGCCCGCTCCCGCAGCCGCCGGACGACCGCCCGCCTCCTCAGGCTCGGCGGCCCCGGGGCTCCCCAAGCCAGCAGGCACTCACATCGTCGGTGCCATCACCGCCGCCGCCGCCGCCGATGCCCTTCACGACCACCGCCGCCGCCAGCTCTCGGCCCCTCTGCTGCAGCCGCCGCCGCAGCCGCCGCCCCCCGCCTCCTCCCGCGCCGCCGCCGCTCGCTCTGCCCCCCGCCGGAGCAGCCGGGCAGAGGCATCGCCCGCGGCGCCCACCGCCGCCGCCCCTCCTGCGGCCGCCGCTGCGGGGGCCGCCGCCTCGATCCCGGCACCGGCCCGACGCCCGCCGCGCGCGGAGAGAGGAGGCGGGGAGGGTGACGGCGCGGCGCGGCGCGGGGCGGGCGGCGGACCCCGCCTCTCCCCCCCGCACACGCTGCTGAGGGGAAGAGGGGGTCTCGGGCGCTCCTCCTGGGCGCGCCCCCCACCGCAGCCGAGCGCGTGGGGCTGGTGTGCGTGCGTGAGGGACTGAGTGGTGACTGGACAGAGGTGAAGATGCAAGAAGGGCCGGGTGCCAGGAGCGCTCTGACTTCTCCACGTTCCGCCGGGATGCAGGGCTCCGGGCGGCCCGCGGGCACCCGCGCAGAGACTACACTTCCCGAAGTGCTCAGCGGCAGCGACGGCCTGTGCGCATGCGTGCCGCGCCGCGCTGGCCTCCGCGGCAAGGGGCTGCGGCGACGAGCGAGGGGCGGCCGGACGGGGCGTGGCCCGGGCCGGGGGGGCGTGGCCCCGGGGACCCAGGGAGGGCGGGCTGTTCTCCCAGAGCTGGTGCGTGGTGTGCGCGCCGGTGACGCCGTGCGGTGCTTTCTGCAGCGCGGGAATAAAGTGTGTAGGGTGGACGCCTGTCCTGGATGCCCGGGTTGCAGGCCTTGGTGTTGTGGCGCCCCACGAGCCCTCCCGCTGAAGGAGAAGTCCCGTTGACCTGGCTCTTCTCAGGGTAACGTGTCCTCCGTCTCCTGGGGCTGAGCTGTCCCTGTAGGCCTCAGCGCTGCTTTTGGGGGGACGTTCTCCCTCAGAGCTCTCCCACCGGAGCGCCTGGGAGAAGGGTGCCGGGCAGCCGGCTGGCCTGGGTGCTCCCCGCCCCTTGCGGCCCGGGGCGTTCTGTCCTGCAGAGGCGGCCTTTGCTGGTGCAGAAACTGAGCCGCCTCGGGTTGCACAGTGCGGTCGAGGGAAGGCGTTGGCCGATCGTGGTTTTACAAAGTTCTGTTGGATGTCTTGAGTTCCAGTCGTGCAGACTTCAGTAACTTTTTTATTTTCAGGCTTCATACGAGCTTTATTGATTGGTTTGATATGGAGAAATACTGCTCCCTATGGAAGAGGGTGATAAAGTCCTTAGGAGGTTAATTTAGGAACCTTTGGCAGCATACTTCAACTACATGTAGTTTGGTATGTTAGTTTTTAGGGGCTTGGAGGTCAGGATGGGTGGGACAATTCAGATTTTGACATCATTTAAGTGCAATCTCCCTTTATGAACTCAACAAGTATTAATTGAGCCCTGCTCTAGCACTAGGGATACCAATAATGAACAACACAGTCCAAAAACTTTTTTGCTCTCAGAGCTCACATTTGGGTGGAAAGAGGCAAAAAAAAAAAAAAAATCAAATATGTCATTTGTCACAGGTGCAAATCCTATAGAGACTGCTATAGAAAAGAGAGTTGAAAGGTGCACGTGGGTAGGAAGCACAGTTTTACAATAGGCATTCAGGGGAGGACTTACTGAAAATGGAATTAAAAAAAAAACAAGTTAATTAATTAGTTTTGAGAGGCAGAGACAGACAGAATACTCCTGCAAATGCCCACAATGGCTGGGCCTGGGCAAAGCCAGGAGCATGGGACAACATCCAGGTCTTCTGCATGGGTGACAGGTGCCCAGTTACTTCAGTCATTACCTGCTGCCTCCCAGGGTGCGTTAGCAGGAGGCTGGAACTCGGATCTGGGCATCACATTCAGAGCTGGGCATCAAATGCAGGGGATTCTGGGATGCATCTGATCTGGAAAGAATGAATGTGCAAAGGTATCATGGGAGCCGTGCTTGGTTTCATTCCAAGAGCAGCCTAGGAGGCCAGTAAGCTAGTAGGGGAAGTATAATAGGAGATTAAGTCAGACCGGAAAAACAGGGGGACAGATTATGTAGGGCATAGTGTATTATTTTGTACATTCTGGGGGAAATGGAAACTTTAGCGAAGTTTTAAATTTAATCTTTTTTTCCCCCTTTGAAATTTTGGGAGCTTTAGTCTTTGAAATAACCCGACAATAGACAACTTAATAGATGGGAACAAAATCCTAACATTTATTAATGTGAAGAAACACAAGAGCCATACACAAAGAATGAGACTCAAAGCAAGGTTAGACGGTGGGTACTTAAATAGCCCTCAACAAAGGCCTAGGGGCTTCCTGTGCTTGTGGGGGGAGGGAGCTGGTTTCAGGCTATGGAGAAGGTACACCGTGAGGCAAAGGTTGTTTTGTTAGGTGGCTGAAGTCTCCCAGGGAATGACCATCTGGCCAGGAGTTAGACCCCCAGTCTCTACATCCTTTGGCTGTTTCCATCACTAATGTAGATTTCCTTCATAGATGTCTGTTTCTTTTACAATAGCGCAGCCTTTGCCGCCATCCTTGGGTCTGCAGAAGTGTGCGATTTTGTAACCAATATGCCAAAGAAATATATGTCGGATGGGGTATTTTACTCTCAGGAGCTGATGGGAGAGTTGTGAAACAACACGATATGAATGATTTTTTTTCCTTTTTTTTTTTTTACAAATTATAAAATATGCATAACACAAAATTTTTATTTATTTATTTTTAAGATTTATTTATTTATTTGGTAGAGTTAAACAGAGAAGGAGAGGCAGAGAGAGAGATCTTCCATCCGCTGGTTCACTCCCCAATTGGCTGCAAGGGATGGAGCTGTGCAGATCCGAAGCCAGGAAGCAGGAGCCTCCTCCAGGTCTCCCACATGGGTGCAGGGGCCCAAGGACTTGGGCCATCTTCTGCTGCTTTCTCAGGCCGTAGCAGAGAGCTGGATTGGAAGTGGAGCAGCTATTGCGAGCACCACTTGTGACGCAGTTTGACAAGGCTAACGTGACGTGTTGGAGCATGGGGAAGAATCTTAACGGCCTTTTCAATATAATTTATTATTCACTACCACTCAATATATTATTAGTCCACAGGTCAACACACATCTAGGAGTAGAACAATCTCATATAATATCCAGCAATGATAATATGTGTAAAGCATAGAAAGCATAATCACTCTAGTCACACATGGCTAATCTCACATCATAAAAGCTCCTTTTGCAAGGTTCGGATCACGGTCACGAAAGCAAAAGCTACAAGTCCAGAGTCCGTTATTCCCCGTTACCACTCCGAGAGACAGGATCTCTGATCAGTCACTTAACGGGCAGTAGCTGTGGAATGACCGGCGCTCTGAGCAGTAGGCTCGGAGTTCTGAGATGGAGGTAAGAAGTCGTAGTCGCCCTCCAGGTCGAATGCAGAGATGTAGGAGTTTGGTCTGGCTTTGATGTCGGCTTCAGCAGTGGCTAGTCGTCTAGGCGAGGTTGCGTCCAGCAGAGAATCGAGTAGTCTCTGCAAGATGTGGCGGATCCACTCGGCATCACTCGCAATGAGCCATGGTTCCCCGAAAGGATGAAGAGTGTCTGTGAGGCTTGTTTTTTATTCACTTTCTGTAGTTGGTGAGGTTATTGGGTGTCACCAATCACGTGTCAGTTAATAGGTGAGGTCCATAGGTGTCACCAATCATGTGTCAGTAGGTGAGGTCCATAGGTGTCACCAATCATGTATTCGTATTTTTTATCATCTAGGTTGCAGGGGTCTATCTGTGTATTTGCCAGAAGCATAGTAGCATATTAGCGCACGTTGTAATGCTGTTGAAGCTTATCCAAAAAGCGGCAGATGCCTTATATGCAGATGCACCTGCCACCATATAGATAATCTCAGGCAGCATGTCACCACCAGCCTATCCGTACAGTGGCAGATGTTTGTGTATGTCATCATACGCTTTCAACTCCAGTGCCCAGCAAGATGGAGTTACTTATGCTAAGCACTGAAAGTGAAAACGCGGGGCTCCACTTTGGATTTTATTTATTGGCTTAGTGGTGATTTGTAACTCTTTTTGGATTCCTGTGGGGTTCCCCACAGCAGCTGGGACTCGAACCGGTTACCCATATGGGATGCCAGCACTGCAGGTGGCGACTTTACCTACTACATCACAGTGCCGGCCCCCTTACCCATTTTTAAATGTGTGATTTGGTGACAGTTACCCTCACTGTGTTGTGCAATCATTACTACTATTTCTAGAACTTCATTATCTCAAACAAAACAAAGCAGTAACTCCCCATTGCCTCCTCCTCCACCCAGATGGTAACCTCAAATATATTTTCTTTACAAATGTGTGTATTCTGGATATTTCATATAAATGGAATCATTAGTATATATTTTGTATCTGGCAAGCCTCACTTGGCATACTGTTTTCAAGGTCCCTCCTTGTGTGGCACGTATCATAACTTGATCTTTGTATGACTGAGTAATGTTTCACTGTGTGTATGTGTGTGTGTGTTTGTAGACATAATATTTTATCTATTCATGTGTTTATGGACACTTGGGACTGTTGCATTATTTGGTTGTTGTGAATAATGGTGTGATGAACCTTGGTATACAAGTATCTGGTTTCACTTGTAGGAGTGGTCTTGCTGAATCATGTGCTAAGCTTTCTGTTTAGCTTTTTGAGAGACTGCCAGGTTGTTTTCCACAATGGTAATATATAGGTGTTCCACTTTTGTCACTCTCTCGCCAAACTTACTTTTTTGTTTTGATGGTACTAATTCTAGTGAGTGGTGAAGTGGTATCTTATTGTGGTTTCGATTTGCATTTCCTTAGTGACAAATGATGTTGAGGATCTCTTCACGTGCTTATTGGATGTTTATATATCTTCTCTGGGGAGCTGTCTACTCAATCTTCTGCCCATTTTTTGAGTTGTCCGGCTTTCTGTTGTTGACTTATAGGAGACCTTTATATATTTTGAATATTAAATCATTATCATATGTATGATTTGCAAGTAATATCTCATCTGATTTTTTCACTTTTTGATATTCTTTGATTCATAAAATTTTTAATTTCGATGCAGTCCACTTTATTTTTTCTTTTGGTGTCAGATCTATGAA